AAAAAAAGTTAATTTAGGTTTATTCCGACTTTTTTTTGGTGGTTACAAGGTAGATCGAATTGACTGATCCCGTTTTGAGATAGGATAGAAAAAATAACAGATAAACTATAAAGTTTTACTGAAAAAAACGTTTGAAATGCATTTAGGACATTTTAGGGATTACATAATGGAAATTTGAGATTTTTGAGATGACGAAAAGTATTTTTAATTCTAACATGAAAATTAATTTGCACATGGACTATTCAAAACAAATACTGAATATATTAATGGACAAACCTTTATTTTATTTTATTAAAAATATTTCACTAAGAAATATAACTTTTTGTATGCAAAATACTTGTAATATTATCTGAAAGATGCTAAATTTTGTGAAGATATACTCAATATATTGAGTTATAAGTATTAAATTTATAAAAATGTTAAACGAATACAAAAGGTCACATGACTCAGTCAAATTGACCAACCCTGTGTTGGGAGAGTTCAGGGCACCCAGAGTATGAAATGCCAGCAAAGTGAATTGATGGCTGCGAGCCCAATAGAGAAGATCCAAGGTCCAAAAACAAAGATCTCTCGACTGGTTGTCTCCTTGCCTGGTGATATAGGACACTATCATTGAATTGTCCAAGGGGATCATCACTACCTGTCCCTGAACAGCCAGCAAGAAGTGAAGTACAGCTTGCTGAACTGCAAGTAGTTCCAAGATATTGATATGGAGAGTGGATTACGTAAGAGCTCACTGTCTCAAAACCTCCTGAGTGTAAAGATATGCTCCCCAACTGGAATGGGAAGCAGCAAGTTTAGATTGTATGAAGACAGCTGGAATAGGGGTCTTGATAAAATTTAAGACAAAATCCAAAAGTTACAACATTTCTTTTTAGACAAGTTTGAATATACTGATATGGCTAGAGTTCCTTGTCTTGGTCAGAGTGAAAGAGAAAAAGGTTACAGGCAATCCTGAAGATGTAGATGGGTTGTTGCTGTACAAATTGTAGAATAGTTCTATGAAGAATGTTGAAAAAAGTAAGTCTTTGAAACTTTTCCCTATTATTAAAATGCATATTTTTTTTCTCAAGGTGTACATTCATATTGGAATGCAAGTTCTTAAACATAATGACTCATTAATTTCATTTTCATATTAAGCCTGAAGAAGAGCAGTTGCTCAAAATAACACTATATAAAATAAATTTGTTTCTATTCAAATGTTGTACTTCTAGTGATATTATTTTGTGGATTATTTATGCAAGTTGTGACAATAATTGATTAAGCTGAACAAACTTTAACCCTACTGCCAAGGGTATCCTTTAATGTGCATGACACAAGGTTTCACAAGGCATGCACGCGTGCAGTTCCTGGGTAAGGTCATTCAATAGTGTGACGTGAGTTTCACATTCCCCAAATGATTTACAACTTATAATGGTGCAAATAGTAGTTATACATGGTTCAATGGGGCAATCAAAGGACAATAAAACAATAAAATTTAATTATAGATAAATGTATACAGTTACGAGTTTAAAACTACTTAGAATAAACGAATGTAATTTCATGTTACAATATGAAGTCATTCTAGAAAGAAAAAAGGGTAATTTAGATTTATTTAAATTTTTTTTGCTGGTTACAAGGTTGGTCAAATTGACCAACCATGTATAAAATTAGGGTAAAGAAAATAACAGATAAAATATAAAGTTTTACTGAAAACAAACATTTGAAATGTATTTAGAAATTTGAGATTTTTCAGATGAAGAAAAGTATTTTTAATCTTAATATGAAAATCACTTTGCACATGGAGTATTCAAGATAATTACTCAATATATATTCACAGACAAATCTTTTTTTAGTTGATTTAAAATACTTCACTAAAAAATATGACTTTTTGTATGTGAAAGACTTATAATGTTTACTGAAAGGCTGTGAAATTTTGTGAAGCTATACATACTATATTAAATGTTAGTAGTATCAAATCTATAAAGACTATAAATGAGTACAAAGAGGTTACCTAGTCGGTCAAATCGAATGAGCTTGTGTTGAGTGAGTTAATTAATTGAAAATAATAATAAGAAATCATAATGACAATATTTTGATTACTTGGATAGTTGGAATAATAGAAAACAGAAATAACAGAATCATTAATTTCAATTACTTGATTATTTTCATTGCATTAGTCAGTCTTTGTAGGTAATCATTTGTACTGATTAATTAAGTTAATTTCCCAGGTCAAATAAGCAGTACTTCTAAATTAGCCATTACTTTTAAACTTACCTTGACCATGATCTTCATGTCAGACACTAAACAGTCATCTCCTATGTGCACTTTTTCTACACTGACTGTAGAACTACTAAGAATAGTCCGTTTTCCTAATGTACTTGACCTTGACACACTGACCAGACTATTAAGCAAGAGGCAGTCTATAGGTGGATTAGACAGTTCTCCCTTACATGGAAAAAGGATAAAGAATTGTTTAATTCTTATAAACAGTATATATCTATACAGTTGATGATAAAGTGCTTTTAAATCTGTGTTATCCTAATCAACACAGATATCTGTCTTCACTCAAGCCACAAAATCTGAAAGCAACCTTTTCAAACCAGTTTTACTTATCTTTTTCAACTCTTACCAAGAAAGAAACTACAGCTCCATATTACTTTTAAAAACATTAGCAAATACTTCTATAATAACTTTAGAGTGATACAACCTTTTAAGTTAAGATAAATATTCTATTACATTTCATATAATTTTTCACATGGAACTACACTGTACAATTAAAATACAAAGTTCAGTAGTCAAACATCATTTAGAAAATCTGGTTGCTTTTAAAACTAGTTAGAAGAAATGTTCTTATCAATGATATGAATATCATACTTGATTATCAACATAAAAAGCAATGCAAAACCAGTGTTGCAGCATTAGCAAATAGAAATATTGTTAAAATAATTATATGAAAGAGAAAATGTGCTCACTATTTCTTGTCAATGATTTTCATTTGATTAAAATCCTAAACACTGTTACTGCACTTTCTCATAGAAGGTGCATCACCTAGGCATTTTGCTACAATTTAAAAGGACTCCTCATACAATGAATTCAGATAATAAGTGATTTTAAGTTTGTAAAATATAAAAAAGAATGTGTTATTTTAAAATGTTCACTGCTATAGCTTCAGTTCTGTCACATATAAAAATACTATTTTTTATCTTACAGTTTCACATTTCACTTGCATAATCTTTAGAATCTCCTAAATTTTTTGCAAAACTTTGATAACATAAAACTTTGAATTATAACATACATGATAATAATTTCATTAGAATACACTGATAGGAAATTTGTTTAATTAAATTTTGAATTTAATGCAGTAACATGTGCAGAAAGACGTTTAAAAAATTATGTCATGCTCCTATGGTTAAACAATGCATTTCTTGATTTTTTAAGAATTTTTCTACTCATCCAAAAAAATAAGTTTACTAGCAAACCTGTGGGCCCACAGTCAATGTTTACAGTACCACTATAATGCAAATTTAAAGCTTGAACTACTATTTTGCATTTTTTCAGTTTAATTGTTTTGTAACAGGCCCCTGCAATTTTGCTGGGGCAGTATATGAATTTCACTTGTGTCACAATAACTGTAAGATTTTTTTATGTATCCTTGCAAAAAATTGGTAAGATTTTGTTAAAGATTATAAGTATCTTGTACACAAATAATGACATAACTTTAATTTAGTGTTTTTCTTAAAAATATGTTATTTAACTATTGTAGTTATTTGCACTCAAACTATTAATAGTTCGAGTGCAAAGTGATTTTCATTTTAAGTATGAAAATACTTTTCTTTATCTTATAGTTTTCATATTTCATTAGCATAACCCCTGGAGCCTCCTAAGTGAATATCAAAGTTTTTTTAAGGTAGATGTTAATATTATATTTTTCTTTTTTTTTATATCACTAACTCTAGATATTATCATCAACATACAGTGCAATCAACTGATTAATATTAAGAAATAGAAAAAATTTACATAGCTTTTAATTTGTTGTAGAATATCTTATCTCTTTCATGATAGGTCATAGGTGAAAGGCCATGTCATCTCATCTGTTGACTCGCATTCAAAATTTTGTTGAACTACTATTTCATGAATTTATGTCATTACGTTTGGTGTCAAACTGTAGATTGTAATTCAAATTTTAGGACTATACATTACTCAATTTGTTAATTTAAAAGTAAGTATTAAAAAACACAGATAAACATAGATTTTTGTGTGTCACATAGTACATTGAATGCAGCACTGGATCAAATTAGATGTTCGTGAAGTCAAAATACTAAGTCTATAGTTTCATACAAATTAGAACCTCAAATTACAGATATTGAAGGTCTTATCTTTTCTGTTTGCTAAGATATTGCTCACGTAATAAATCAAACCCAGTAGCACCCTGCTCACCATTTTTGGAAATGCTCCCTTATATACACTTACTTCTATATATGACATGAATAACCAATACAAAGCTCAGAATGTCCCCCTAGTGGTTTTCTCAGCCATTCTAACATACCTAATGCCATTTCATTATTTTGAACCAAAATTTCAATGAGGTAGGTTGTGTTTTTAATCTGCTCAAAATTTTATATTTTTTTTAGACTCAAATACAGTTTGGTTACTAACTTTGATAAATTAAAGTAGAATTCTATGGTATTCATGTAGTAAATTATGATTTTTTAGTTATTCAAAAATATATATAAAAACCTAAAAAAAATATTTTGTTTCATATCCTCCACGTGCAAAATTTTTAAAGGCTTGGCAATCTATGTCAAGCAGGAACCGAGTACAAAGGTCGTAACTAGAAGAGATAATTGTTTGTTTTACTTCTTTATTTATTGTTCTATGTTTTAGGAAAAATATGTTTAAGAACTTCTTTCAAAATAGCAATAATCTATATACACATATAATGTATAATAATTGAAATGTGACAGTATTTTACAAAATACTAGTCGACTAAAACACAGCCAAGACAAGATCTTTTGTACAGACCAAAGGTCACCTTTATGTTATTTGATACAGTAACATGAGTGCACATAAGCCGTGTCGTTGTAACTTCTGTATTGTTAGCTAGGCATGGGTGAAAGGTCAATATAATAAGAATGAGATTTAAGTTATTTTGTCTAAACATTTATGTTTTCGTGTTATAATTTGTGTTCATTCTAGAATAAAAGAGGCATAATATGTGTATTTCTTAATTTTCAGTCAAATTTACCAAACCTGTACAGAGATTAAATACTGAAAATAACAGATAAAATATTAAGTTTTTTCTTAAGAAATATTTAATAACTGTCCAGACACTATAATGATTTTGCATGTGAAATTTCAAAATTTCTGATGCATTAAACTATTTTTAATTCTAAAATGAAAATTACTTTGCATGATAGATAGGAAAGATGTGAAAAGAAAAAAGGCATGAGAAAAACATTGCTTTACAAACCTTAAAACTTAATAAAAAAATTAGATATTTCGTGTATGAAAGCATTGTAATGTTTACTGATAAACTGCCAAATTTCATTAACATTCGTTAACTAATTTAAAAGTTATAGCATGAAAACTATAACAAGCACAAAAGGGTTATGAGGTCTGTCCCAGGGACAGAGCCCAGGTTGAAAGTGTTAAAATATCTTCTTTTTGTTATATTTGTAATTTCAGGCCTTTTCCTTTTCACAATTAGTAAATTTTTAATGTTATATTTTCCTTTATTGTTCTTTAGCTTTTATCACTCATCTCAGTGCAAGTCAACAAGTCGTTGAGGCATAATCAGTTTCTTCAGTAAAGGTGTAAAAGCCGTCACAAAATTATCTTCACCAAGTGCAAGATCTTAAGCCTTGAAAACTGATACAAAGTATGATGTATATTTCAAAAATGTTTAAACCTTTCAGTTATGCATTTTAAAACATAAATAATATATAATTAACTAAGATATAAAAGTAAGACCTAAACAAAATTTAACTGTCTCTCTAACTGTAACATAATTAGCTAAGAAAAAACTGTAAGAACTATTAGGGATCAAGTAGCTAACAATATAACAGGCAGTTACATGTACCAGATAATGACAACTGTATGCCACTTTCAAAATAACCATTGTTGATTTATGGTATAAAATGAGTTTTTTCTAATGACTATAAACATGTATATGTAGCCACTACATGTATGTTATAAATCTCAAGCAAAAGCACAGAAGGTGAGTGTGACACCAGTCAGAGGTTGACAAAATTTATTACTTGTTTCTACTCCATTCAGCTATAGGACTTTGGAATTAATGTGTCAATAGGTCAAGTTGTGTACTAAAATCTCTAGACATGCATCTACAAGACTGGCATTATATGAGTCAAGACGTGAAATGTAAAGTTGATATTTTTCAAAGCTTGTGGGATACGTAAGAACACAAAACTGAAGGTTATGTATTTTTTTAAAGATTTCTTTTGAAATAAAACTTAGATGACATAAAATTTTGAATCATAACATACATCATAATGTCAATTTCATTCACATAAATTTATCATAAAGTTCTTTAATTAAAGTTTGAATGTAACTCAGTGACTTACTCAGAAAAGTGTTTGAAGGGGTAACCATCATGAAAGGGTTAATGATCATTGTCACCATAATGCAAGTTAAATTTCTTTAACCAAATAAAGTCATCCAATAAACCAAGCCTTAAAATAAAATATTCAAAACCAGCTCTTATCATTCAAGTATATATACCAAGCCTTCCCTTGAACTCCCTTAAATTAAGTGCACCCAACACATGTGAAGGCAACCCACTCCAAAGACCAACCACCCTGTTAGGAAAAATAAAGCTGCCTTAGCTGAAAATGACTCCTACCCTGCCTAAATTTTAATTTGGTCTTCTAGTCATACCATTCTCACCACTAAGTATGAAAAAATATCATGCATCAACACTATAAATTCCTTAAACAATATTAAACACCCTTTTCTCAAGAGAAAACAATTTCAGAAATCTTAATGTGTCCTCATACAACAACCTTTCTGTCTTAGGTATCTTCCTAGTAACCCTCCTCTGAACCCTTTCAAACAATTCAATGTCCTTCCTAAGGTAAGGACCCCAAGACTAGACACAATACTCTAAAATGTGGCCTAACTAATGACCTACAAAATGAACTTATAACCTATTTAGACCTGTATTGAATATTTCTTCAGATACAATCTAAAATCCTATATGCCCTGCTACTAACAACTGCACACTACTTGGATTGCTTAAAAGACTGTTCAACTAGAGAACCAAGATTCTTTTCTCCCATAACACTATTAAAGTTATTCCCATCAAAACTACACTCATGATTCACCTTAAAATGTCCCACATGCATTACCTTACATTTTCTTTAATTAAAAGCCATCTGCCATTTATTTGCCCAAATAATCTAAATCCTTTTGTAAAGCAGTAATATCCTCCTCATAGTCAGCAACACCCAAAACCTTTATGTTATCAGCAAATTGAAATAACTTATTGACTATTCCTTCAAATGTGTCATTAATGTAAATCAAAAAGGGGCAACAATGTGACAGTTAATCCAGTTTGACTGAACTCCATTTATAACAACCTTTTGCTTTCTTCCATCCAACCAGCTTTCTATACAATGAGTTAACCTATTCCCCACACCACAACAGATTTTTCAATAAGTCTATTATGTGGTACCTTGTCAAATACTCCATGAAACTCCAAATCTACACGTATACCCTCATCTACATAAACAGTAACCTTTTCAAAGAATGCCAAAAAGATTAGTAAGGCAAGATTTTCCCCTAATGAAACATACTGACTATCCAGGCTTAGTGGGTGCAACAAGCTAAGATAAAAAAATTGAATAACATAAATCCTTTTCTGTTGAATTTTATCATTCAGACAGCACATAAATATAAAATAATTTGTTATTTACCAAAAATAAACTATATGCTACGAGATATAAATTCGTCTCAACCACAAAAATTGTTGGCAAAAGTGATAATAACATATCTTATAAATGTAATGGTGATGCATTTTGGAATGTTAGGTCCTTGATCACCAATAAATTTTTGTTAGTTTTTGCCATGTTTTTGAATAATTTATAGCTGGAAGTGGTTACTGCTTCAATCATCAAAATAAAGTATCAAAAGAAATATACTGGTAATTATCAAATGTGTTGAAACTAGATAGATATAGCGGAATATTTTATTCAGTAGCACCTAACAACAATATGTTGGAAATTTTCACAACTAAAAATTGGTAAGTTTCAGGCAATTTTGTTAAGGGTTTCCACTGTGAGAAGAAAAAAGCCATAGGTTATCAGTGGCACTTCTCTGGTAGAGAAAGGATTAACTAGGTAATATATTAGCAACAAATAACTCCAACAATACTATCCAAGTCAAATTTTAATTGTGGATTTAAGACTTTGTCTGGAGTGGGATTTTATTACTTTATGGTTACAATTGTGTATTTCTTTAATTCTTTTCCAAGCAATATGCATTCAAATGTGAACCATAATTATGCAGAATGTTTAATGGAGAAATAATCTCACAATGTTTATGATACAATAAAGAAATGAAGATTAATAAAAGTAAGTATCAGAAATAAACCTACTTCTACATATGAATGAATTCTTCCCATTTGACTGCACTTTCTCAGAATAGCCATATGATCTTCAGCAGTGGAATGTTCAGACCAGTATAGATGTTCAATACCTTCTAGAATCACTGAAACATTTGGTACAGTTTCTATTTATTTATGCCACACGTATACTTGTATTTTATGGACTATACATAATCAGCAGAGTGAATGCTTTAAAACAAGACTGTTATGTCTATGTGTACAAAAAGATGTTTATTTTTAATACTTTATATCTTATCTTACACAAATTTATTTATTCTTATAAAAAAGTTTTCGAAAAGAAAAAAAATTAATTTTAAATTAATCCTATAGGATAAAGTAATTCACAAACTGAACAAGTTTTACAATTAAGAACATTCAATTTATTCAAGCAATCATTCTCCATTAATAGATGACACCACAAATGATTTCAAGTTAAATGTTTTATTAATGATGTTGATATCCAAATCCAGGTACTATGCTTTGTTATTAGTGAAAAGGTCCTTTTTTCCAGAGTAAGTTCTATTGGATAACTTTGTTTGGCAATTAGAGCTTGAAAATTAGTAAAATTTGTTAATCCATTAATTCAACTAATCAATTATTCACATGAGACTTGGATAGTCTGAATAATTTAAAATAGTAAAAATCAGAAATGCTAATTTCAGTTAGTTGATTACTTTGACGAGTTGCAACACTAATCAAATAAGCTAAGCAACCTCAAATTGATAAAAATAATTATAAACTATAATGGCAATATTTTGGTCACTTACATAATTCTAATAACCAAAAACACTGATTTCGATTAGTTGATGATTTTATGCCATACTAATCAATATAATCCATGCTCACAGGCAATCAATTATATTGGTTAATCACCGTCAAAAAACCTTGACAGTTAGGAAAAGATATCATTAATTTATACGTTATAGCAATGTCCTCTTGTGGGCAGGTTTTCTAAAATTATCTGGAGAAAAGAATTCAATGTTCAGTCCACATAATAAGATCAAATAACTTCTTTTACTCCTTTAACATTTCTACATTATACACTGTTGTAGGCCTACATTACAATATTCAAAATTCTCAAACAATACTAAGATGCAGTCACACTTACTTACTTTTTTTGAATATGCTAGAAAACTTTATGTCACATCCTTGATCTTATAATTCCTTCTAGCTAACATTTAAATTACAACATTAAGAATATAACATGTAACAATAAGTACAAACATGACAAATGTGCAAAGCTTTACTATAGTCTTTTTTACCAAGGTTTTTTAATATATGAAAATTTAGGTCTGAATAAATACAAATCTGCAACTGAAATTACCTCCCACAATAGAGTTGCCAACTGTTCTACATTCAGTAGCACAGTCGTACTTAGAAATAAAATGGATGACCCGTTACAGAAAAAGTCCCACTACAAACTTTTCAGGAGTTGGCAACCCTATCCCACAAGTATCCCTTGAATTTGTTTGAATGCATGTTGACTAAAGTGTGTTGTCAAGTGAAAAAACACATAACTTGTAAAAAATCATTTATTGTGAAAAAATGGTAATTCTTAAGGGTAAAGTTATCATAGAAGTATTTGCTTTGACTAACAAAAAGCATTAACCTTCTTCATACAGATGGGTCAAGTGTTCTTATCATGACTTTTTTACAGAGTTACATTAAACAACTTTATTATCAATGAACGTCAATAAACTAAGCATCAAAGCATAGTTTATAAATCAAATGTTAATGTTATATGTTTTAATTTCTTAATTTCATAAAGATATATTTAAATAAAATCCCAATCTTCACTTCTCTGTAACATGCAAGTTTTCTTAGCTCTGAACTGCTACTTTTAAATTTTCTTTCTACCCTATATGATCTTTTTGTCCACAAAGTACAGACTTATACTACAGATAACACTAAGTCACAAAGTAAATTTATAGCCTCCAAGCTTCTTCCTTTACTGAGATCTAAAAAGAAAGTCAGCAAACCCACACGCTACACCCCACTCATCCTGTCTTATAAAAAATGTCAATAATTCCCTACACATTTGCTAATGGAATATTCATATGGAAAAGGAAGATCACATTCTTATCTATAAGTTAGAAGGCTAGTTCATTTAGCCTCCAGATTAAGAAATATTTGGCCTCAGTTTCATTGTCTTTGTAGTGTCCATCTTGATCAGTTAATAAAATTTTTTTAACCTATTTATAACCTAGTTGGAAAAGCCAGTTAAATTACTGTAGTTTTGTAAATTTTATTTTTTGTGTGGTAATGTTTTGTGTTCTAAATTGAATATTTGAAATATGAATTTAAAACGTTTTGGGCCACCAACATTGCTACAAAAGAGTAGGCCTACACTGCTTCATCTGTCAACACCAAAAAGCCCAACTCCAAACATAAACATCAAATTTCTTGTTTTTTATGTATATTTCTTACTTATTGTTATGAAAGTAACTACAAATTAAAAGTTAGAAACTTGTTAAGTTAGATAAGAAAAAATTAAAAAATATATAAAAATTCACATGATACTCAGTATCCTAGCATGTGCACATCACATGGCATGACTGTTATTCAACCATAACTATGATAAATGACTTTCAGCACACTATGAGAAGGTGCAGCTTAAAGCAATAAAATCAAATTAATACAAATTTGAAGAGTCTGTTAGCTTTGGCTGTAACAATAAATAGTATAATTGTTTGTTAAAGTATGCAGTAAATCTAGAAATGAGAAAAAAAAAGGGAAATTTAGATATATTTCAATTTTTCATTTACCCTACATTACTGATTTTGCTACAGTTAATGGTAGGGTAAAGAAAATAACAGACAGAATATAAAGTTTTAGTGAAAAACTATTAGTTATTAAGGAAGTTCTAGAAGTCATGCAAATTAAATACAAAACTGTAAAACAAAAGAAAGTACTTTTATTCTAAAGATGAAAATCACTTTGCATTCAGACTAGTCAGAGTCTGATTGACTCATTAAATTAATAGAAAAATCTTTAGTAAAAATACTTTATTTAAAATTCTAATTTTTCACATAAACATACTAAAAAGTTACCAACTTTCATGAAGACACACTTATAATACGGTAGACAATGCAAGTTATAGCTAAATCACCAGAATTGTTAAACTATTTTGAATCTCACTTCCACATTCTTACCTACTCACTTAGACTGTACATGTCATTTTGACTGAAACAAAAAACATTCTTAAAAAGAGTCAACTCTGTTTTAACAGGCTTAAGTTTTAAGTAATAAGTACCAAATATCACATAACCCTAATAGACCAAACTAGTCAAATTCTCCCAGTCATAAAGATTTTGCACTTCCCCACCAATCTTATAAAGATTCTGTTTCTTAATCAATGTCTTACAAGACAACTTATTGAAGGCTTTCTGAAAGTCAACACATAAAAATCATGTGCACTTTTACCCAGCAAAAATGTGTGTAAATGGTGTGTAACATCCATTGTTGTATAAGCTTACTGAATACCATGTGTAAACTACTGAAATGTGTAGAATGAGCACACTAAACTTATATCGTAAGTTTAAACAGAATATAGGTACAGTATCATAAAATATATTGTGCAAAATGTATTGAGATGTGTAAAATTTTTAAAAACTCAGTGTACAATGAATGAGCTTTTGGTTACAGGTCATATAATATTTTTGTGAGTAAACATAACATATACAGCTATTAGCATTTTAATTCCACCTGCAATAAAAGTGTTTGTTAAAAACCAGTTATCTTTATTGGAAAATAAATAAAAGTAATGAATTGATTCTGCTGATACATTTTACCGATTGTTTATTTGTTTTTGAATTTTGCACAAAGTTACTCAAGAGCTATAAGCACTTGCAATCCCTAATTTAGCAGTGGTAGACAATAGGGGAGACAGCTAGTCTACACCATCCACCAACTCTTGGGCTACTTTTTTACCAATGGATATTGGGATTGACCATCATATTATAATGCCTCTATGGCTGAGAGGGCTATCATGTTTGGTGATGGGGATTCAAACCTGTAATCCATAGATTGCGAGTCTATTGCTCTAACAACCATGCCATGCCAGGCCTAGTGAGAAGTTTTAAATTATTATAAGGTTTATTTATGGATAATACACATTTCAGAAAATCAAAGTATAAAATGTATTTTTTTTCTCCCTTCTATAATATGCTGTGCAGGTTCCAAGAGAATGGAATTTACTAGTTGATTAGCATTTCAACTATATATAAAACATCAGTATTACAAATGTTAAACTAAATGATTTAAAACCAAAACTACTCTACAAAGTATAATTATTATTTCCAACAATTTCTTAAGTGGTTACAACCTTCATATTAAATCCAGACATAAATTCTGAAAAAGGGTCTTTATTAGCAATAAATTGTCAAATCATTCATTTCATTTTGAGTAATGCAAACTAAAACATGTAACAACACCAAAAAACCCTGCACGAGTTAAGAGGATTTCTTGGAATGAACTCTTACCATTGTAAACTTTGTAAAATTATTTTCTCTGACATAGATCTTCATCTACACAAATTACTTGAAAAACCAAATAAATTTTGTTCAACTCCTGAACAAACATTCAACAAACTAAAGAAAGAATTGACAACTACTCCTGTATTAGCATACACAACTCTTGAAAATTCACTCATTTCACATAAAGATGCCACTGATTTTGCAGTGGGAGCAATGTTGTCATAAATACAACACAGAAAGGAAAGTGTTCTGAAATTGTTTTCTCTGGATAAAAGGGTGTATAATATTGTTAAAGGAATTTATAGTGTTGATGCATCATCTTTTTTCATATTTAATGGTGAGAATGATAGGACTTGGAGACAAAAATGCAAATTTAGGCAGGGTAGGAGTCATCTTCAGCTAAGACAATTTTATTTTTCTAAACAGGGTGGTTGCCCTTTGGAACAGGTTGCCTTCAGATGTTGTGGAGGCAGTAAACTTAAGTGAGTGTAAGAGAAAGTGTGATAACTATATGAATGATGAGTGCTTGCTTTTCGTTTTTTTTTAATGGCTTTTGTTTATTTTAGAGGATGGGACAACCTAAATGGACCAATAGGTCTCTTGTTTTCCCTAAACATTATGTTATGTTA